ATCGTCACCCTCTACTCCTACAACACTAGATGACTTACGCGGGACACCGAGCTCGCCCTCTATCATTCCATCTGCGCTGAACTCCCCTCTCTCGCTTTCGGGGGAGGCAGGTCGGTCATCCCTAGTGGATTTCTGGAAGTTGTCGGGTCGAGGTTCTCCCCGCTCGCGAGGCTCCCCTGTGTCGGCGTGCTTGGAGCCACCCCATGGGAGGCAAACGCCTCCTTCGCCCCCAGTTACGGCAACATAGTTTTCCTTGAAGTGCATCCCCACCGACGCCAAAAGCTGAAGAGGTCTCGACAGATTCGTTTGGCGCCTCGTGCTTCCAAGCTCTTTGGGCTCTACCGATCCTAGAAATTGCTGAATTGCACCTAGTCGCCAGCCAACCATTTTCTCGACGCCACCGTGTCTTAGCCAACAACCGGCCGGTTCTACACGGTTCAACCCTCTCTGGACTTCGACTACCGTCAACGGTCGGTTATCCGTTGTAGATGCGTCCATCATGTGGGTCTGGACAAAGAATGCGAACGCGCGCGACGCGGCGGGTAAGCACAAGCAGTGTGGCCTGGAAAAGCAAGCCCGCCATACATATACATACTGCTGTAAATATATTGCAATAAATTATCAAGCTGGCACCACCAAACCTCCGCTTTTCACGCCTCGGTATCGTATATTGCTCCTGTAACACCACTAGGTCGAAACGCGGGCGATGAGCCGTCGTCCTGGACCCCACGCAGGTGGTGTCCTGCCGTATCTGTCCCGACGGTAATCACGCCGGGAAATTTCCAGTCTAAATCCCTATTAATAGGCATATTTACTGCTGTAAATTCCGCTTAAATGGAAAACGCTGTTTCTCCGTCGTTTATGATCAGACTCCGGTTTTGGGACATTCATACGAAAGCTATGGGTCAGGACCATCTTTTGGAAGCGTCAAAAAAAAAAGGCGCAGTACGTGCACTGTCTAAAAACGCCTATATGTGCAGAAAAACGCACAATTTTGGGAGCCAGTACACCGAAACCGAAATTTTGAAGGTTTGGCAACCGAACGCACCAAAACTCTTCGGAGGGCGTTGCATGTTCACAGACTACCTATATCAGTCGCCTTTTGCACGGCGCCTCGTGTGTACAGCTTTTCCGATCGGCTTGACCGCCCCTCAGCACCCCATTTGGCGGAAATCATGTCCTCATTTCCAGAGGGTGAGGAAACACCGACGCCGACACGTTCCTAAACTTCTGCGGGCACTGCACGACCGTCACACATATGGAGCACACCCTCAGCGTGCGAGTACGTGAGTTCATCCACTACACGCCTTATTCGCGCCGGGGCGGTGTGCTGGAGAATCGTATATCCGGCAATTCCGCCGCTTCAAAGCTGCTGATTCTGTGGTCGGCGACGACAATTCTTTCGGTCGTGCATTGTACGATGTGACACTTCATATATCTCATCTCATGCGTATTTCCTCTGGGTCCCACCGGTTGTTGTTCTGGGCACGTCGCTGCCCTCCTGCTTGCGGGCCGCCGTAACAAGTGCGGTCTAACCAGGTTTTGTCATGTTTTTTAAAAACAGGGGGGTTTCCAGACCTGTCTATTCCCTTTACACTGCCCCGATTGCGAACCGTAACATCGATTGGCGGTTCCCCCAGCGGGGTCGACCTGGGTCGACTGTACTAGATCGGGAGGTGGAATAGTTTTTTGTTGAAAAACGTACCTGCAGTAGGCTCGTGCGTTGCTACCATTGGCCCGCTTACTACACAGCAGTATAGTATTACAATATATTGATTGAGGTGTAGGGGGCGCCAATCAATGTGATGGACTCCGAAAAAAAAAATGTCTTGGAAAAAAAAGACACCTCCACACGGACTCGAATCCATGATTTCGAGAGTCAGGGTGGCCTTCACCGAGTTCACGAAGTAAAATGGCTTTTTTACAACGTCGTTGCCAAGCGACGAAAGCCCAATCTCGATGGCAAACACCGAGGGGGGGGCTTGTTTTACAACTTCGTTGCCAAGNGCTTACTACACAGCAGTATAGTATTACAATATATTGATTGAGGTGTAGGGGGCGCCAATCAATGTGATGGACTCCGAAAAAAAAAATGTCTTGGAAAAAAAAGACACCTCCACACGGACTCGAATCCATGATTTCGAGAGTCAGGGTGGCCTTCACCGAGTTCACGAAGTAAAATGGCTTTTTTACAACGTCGTTGCCAAGCGACGAAAGCCCAATCTCGATGGCAAACACCGAGGGGGGGGCTTGTTTTACAACTTCGTTGCCAAGCGACGAAAACCTAACCCCGATGGCAAACACCCGGGGGGAGGGAGGGGTGTTGTATATTAAAAAATAGGGCTAGCGCTAAAAAAAAAACAAATGTCTGCTGTTGCTGTGCTTCGCTTGTTGGTTCGAGCTTTGATCGAGAAATCTCATAAGCGTTCAAGTGTGTGATGGGTAACCAGGCTAGCACGGGAGGCACTGACTGGTCGCACACTTGGCCTTCGCGCACAAAAGTGTAGAGTGGCGTACAGCAGTACATGTCGCACCAACGGCGGTGCGTAGCAGCGTCTTGTCTGTGTGTTGTTGGTGTCATGTGCCCCTCTCCGCGGAAAGAGAGAGAGAGGCCGCTGCTGCTACTGCTGCTGCTGCAGCAACCAAATGTTGATCTCTCCTCTCGCTTCCTCCGCGAATGCTAACAGCAGCAGTGTATGGCACACCCTTCTCCCGCCGTCTCGCCCTCGCTGTGGCCTGTGTCTCCCTCTCTCTCCATGTTTGTCCATGTCTGGCTCTGTGTGTGGTGTGCGAGGCTATCTGTCTTGGTTCAAAATCATACGACGCCTCATACTACCTCGGTGTTGCAAGCGGCCAGAAACTTCCCTGCTTCAAGTTGGGTACCCACGCTGCACGATCTCAACGCACCGAGCACGGATTGAAAAGGTAGCAGTTGGGGCGGCTCGGGGAAAATATTACTTGTTGTGAACACGTCTTAGATTGCAATTTGGTGCCGAGATGGTGAAATGGGCTGGAATCTGCTGGGTAATAATAATATATCGAGGCTGGTCACAGACAGACAGACAGACAGACAGACAGACAGNGCCTGTGTCTCCCTCTCTCTCCATGTTTGTCCATGTCTGGCTCTGTGTGTGGTGTGCGAGGCTATCTGTCTTGGTTCAAAATCATACGACGCCTCATACTACCTCGGTGTTGCAAGCGGCCAGAAACTTCCCTGCTTCAAGTTGGGTACCCACGCTGCACGATCTCAACGCACCGAGCACGGATTGAAAAGGTAGCAGTTGGGGCGGCTCGGGGAAAATATTACTTGTTGTGAACACGTCTTAGATTGCAATTTGGTGCCGAGATGGTGAAATGGGCTGGAATCTGCTGGGTAATAATAATATATCGAGGCTGGTCACAGACAGACAGACAGACAGACAGACAGACAGACAGACAGACAGACAGACAGACAGACAGACAGACAGACACACGGACGGACTTACTTGAGCCCATTCCGCCCCCCCCCTCTAAACAGTTTTTTTTTAAGAACAACAAGCGTCCCTATCGGGCCACTTCTCTTGAAAAAAAAACTACTTGTAACCAACACTCGGGTGCACGGACACACGCACCGAAAATAATGTCACGACTAGATACAAACGGCGAGGTGTCAAACCGACGCGCCCAATCATTTGCTTCCCCTCCCCTGCAAGTCTCCGCCACATGTTCCGGCTATCAACGATGTCCACCTAAAGAATCAAACCGTACAGGTTGAGACTGCAAAAAAAAGGTGGGTAGTCCTTTCTCTCATCTAAAACTCGTTTGGGCTGTCACCCATCCGCGCATGACTCTTCGCTGCAAAAGCAGGCGGTGTTGAAGGGCGTCATCACCGTTCCCTCATTGGACGGGTTCCCCCCGAACCATTCTGTCCACACTTGGTTCCCGTGCTTGATGTACCGCGCCTTGTCGTCCTTGAACTTGTCGTATGGTGTTTCGCTTAGGGACGGGCGGGCCACGACATCACACCGACAAACGACAAAGGGAAGGGTTGAGCGGAGTGCGCGGGTGCGAAATCAAACGCCCTTTGGCCACCACCGAACCAAGCATGGTGTTCTTGAACGCATTGCGAGCAGCAGTAGTAGCTGGGGCGGAGCATATACGGGGTCAACTGGACAAAAGAGAGAGAGAGCTGAAGCGCAGCGAAAAAAACACGCGTACAACAAAGGCTTCCACCCACATCTACGTACACAACCAGCGACGAGGCATTGTTTGAGTCTTTCGTTCCCGTTGGACACAGCCACTAGCTTTCGGATGCCCGATTACCACGGCGGACGCGAAAACGCTCATCATTGCAGCAATGACCTATAACACGTGGTGGGTGTTCCGTAACCCCGAGGCTGCAACCCCACCTCTAGTCTCATCCGCCCCCCACCCCCCCTGCCGGTGGGTCACGCGGCCTGCCGTTCATCAAGCCGTGCAATCCAACTAGGCTGGCGAGATCGATGCATATCAACAAAGCCCTCTCTCACGCACGCGCGCTTGCAAAAATAAGGCAAACAAGTCAAAGCGAGCGAGCAGTACCTTCGGGACAGGATCAGTCGATCATCCTCTATAAAACCAGAACGAACATAAGAAGAAGACCAAGAGAACCAAGCAAGCAATACCTCCGGAACAAGTACAGCCGATCATCCTCGATCAACCAGATATCCGGGTTGGAAGGCGGCCCGAGGACGTCAGGACCCCAAATGTCCTCGTGGCTGATTCCGAAGCTGCAGAAGCCGCCCCAAGCGGGGAGGTATTTCTCTGGATCGCTCTGCTCACGAACACGAGAAGGAGGGGGGGGGGGGAATACTCTCATATTTTTCATGCCGTAGCCGTTGAGATCATAGACCACGCGTCCTCGACAGGACGGAGCATTGTTCCCACAGGACCGATCACCGATGGCCTCACCATTCACCCCTACTTTGCCGCGGCAAAGAGGTGGGAGGGACATCACAAGAAAGCACGGAAACTCTGCTACGGTATAAAGAGCAGAACAATCCAAACTTGAACATTTCGATACATAGGCGTGATGGTCGGCTGAATGAAGACTGCATCAAGCATGCCGGACGCGCGGTTGTTGAGCGAGACGAATACCGTTAGGAAAGGTAGAAAGTGCGGGCGACGGCGAGAAAATTGACGACTGGGATCAACCCAGCCGTTCTCGGTCTAGCTCACTTTCAACACGAATGGAAAGAAGGGAGTACATTTCATGTTCCGTATCGTCCTTTCAACCAGACAATTTCTTATGTTGTGCACCTGCAGCAGCTGACCCGTACTTGGGTTGTTTGTAAGGAAAAAATGAAAAAATAAACGCGACATCTCGTTATGATATCTTGTACTGGTATTTCGTCGTTCGCATGAAAACTCTTCGTGTTTTCGCGACTAGTCTCCAAACAAAAAAACCCAACAGACGAGCCGTCCTTCACGATCGCACAAGGTCGCAGGCACTCCCTGTTCACATACCGTGCAACACCAACCACCACACTTTTGGTCAATATTTGAGAGACCCACCTCAAATTCTAGCTGGTTTTCGAGTGTCGAAAACAGGAAAGTATATCCTTGGCCGTATTGTACCGAAAATTCCCACAAACCGCGGACCCCGTGTGTGCCGGGTTGGAGGGATCGATATGCCACAAGATCGAACCCTTTCACCGCCGGTTTGCTCGTATCCCCAGTGCACTCCGCGGTCGTCACGTGAGCTGCACCACGCCGCCAACGTTGGTGCGTAGAAGGGCACGGCAGCATGACGGAAACAAACGAGCGAGGGAGGAAAGCATGTTTATGCAGACAGCGGGGCGCGGACGCAGCAGACTACCCTACGGGGGCTGTAAGACAAAGATAGAAGAGTTGCATATGGTACCTACCGCCTGTTGTATTCCGTCGTCCGCGGCTCGGCACATGTGCCTCTCTTTCTTCTACGACACTCCTTGTGGGATGAAACTAATACACGTAGGGGTATGGGTCGCCCAGCAGCTTCCCGCAAGGTTGCCGAAAGGTGACCGAGTGCTCCGTCACGCTTGTCGAAACGCATCCCGTGATACTGCAACAGTGCCTCCCATGGAACCTCCCCGGCCTGTCCCCCTCCGTCCCTGGGGTAGGCCGAGGTTCTGCAAGTGGATCTAGACCTCGAAAGACCACCCGGCAAAGACGGATATACGGTCCCTAGCACTGTTGAGAGGGGGATCCTGAGTTTGGCGGTTGAGAGTTACTGCTGTCGTGAGATCGGGGTAGCTCCTGAGCCGCCAGCTTTGGTAGCTGCAAGATGAGACCGGATCCCAACGCTCCGGCTTGGACACCGGGGCTATACAGCAGCAGAGAGCACGGTGAGGGTGGCGGAGTGACCGCACGCCGTGGGGGTATGCCCCAGAGAGAGGAAATGAGAGAGTCCAGAGATGGAGGGCCACACCGCTCCGGGACAAGAAGACAACTCTATGGGAAACAAGGCAAGAACCGGGGTAACTATCACGTTAGCCCGAGTGTTCGCAAGTAAATAGCAAAAATACAAAAAAAGAGAGAAAGATGGAGGAAAAGGAGGGGTCGGGCGGCGCGTAGGCTAGCTAAGAGAGCAGCGCGCGCCGCGCGAAAGAGACAGCAGGGTCAACTTCTTGGGGTATCAACCTGGAATGTGCGGACTTTGGCTGTAAACGGGGCCAATGGATACGGGCGAGCCTACAGCGTTCTACACGAGGCAGCGAGACAAGACGTATCGGTGGTAGGAATGCAGGAGACACGGAGGGCAGGTTGAACGAAATTTGCAGCAGCGGGTTTCTGGGTGTTCTGCTGTGGAACGGAGACTGGTGGAGTCCATGGTGTGGGGATAGCCGTCAAAGAGTCACNGTATCAACCTGGAATGTGCGGACTTTGGCTGTAAACGGGGCCAATGGATACGGGCGAGCCTACAGCGTTCTACACGAGGCAGCGAGACAAGACGTATCGGTGGTAGGAATGCAGGAGACACGGAGGGCAGGTTGAACGAAATTTGCAGCAGCGGGTTTCTGGGTGTTCTGCTGTGGAACGGAGACTGGTGGAGTCCATGGTGTGGGGATAGCCGTCAAAGAGTCACTGTGCAAGATATCCACGTTCACACGGAGTTTATCGACGAACGCCTTATGGCCATGATGTTTCTGTTGGCAGGTCACAGTGGAGCGGTCAACTTCGTAGCCGCGTATGCTCCAACCGAACCTTCAACNACATCCACGTTCAACACGGAGTTTATCGACGAACGCCTTATGGCCATGATGTTTCTGTTGGCAGGCCACCGTGGAGCGGTCAACTTCGTAGCCGCGTATGCTCCAACCGAACCTT